GCAGAGTCCAAATGCTTTCAAAGTCTTTTTGAATGTAAAAGCTGTTAAAACATTGCTTCTCCATAAAAACTCTTTAACAGGTTTCAGCTGTTGCAAGATTGGTTTGGAAACCATGCTGTTTAAAATGAGTAAATGCAGGGGTATTTACATCTGTGTCCTAGTTAGGACAGCTGAGATCAGTTCATCATGGTGGGTGTAACCCAAAACTGTATTCTATAGCCTTCCATGTCATTTCCCAGAAACTAGACTATTGTTGTCAATAGACTATTCGCACCCTCTGCCCATAGAGCATGGTGGGTGTAACCCAAAACTGTATTCTATAGCCTTCCATGTCATTTCCCAGAAACTAGACTATTGTTGTCAATAGACTATTCGCACCTTCTGCCCATAGAGCATGGTGGGTGTAACCCAAAACTGTATTCTATAGCCTTCCATGTCATTTCCCAGAAACTAGACTATTGTTGTCAATAGACTATTCGCACCTTCTGCCCATAGAGCCTGACTCCTCAGGCTATAAACTAGGTGTTAAGAGGCCTGTGAGATAGGAGGATGTTTCTGTCCTCACACCCTTTGTGAAACTCCCCGCCCTGAGGGGAGCACTGAACATTCCTGCCTGAACTGGAGGATATATAATCTTGGAGTTTTGGAACATTTTTCAACCCACTCGTGGGATCCAGAGGACGGCTGCATCTCATCGCTCTCAACCAGACTTAGACCACCACTGGACTGCGATCACCAGTTCTGGCCAGACTGCAGCAGCTCTCCCACCAGCAGGTTCTTCCCCTCTCCCTTTACTTTGGACTCAAACAGGGCCCAAGGAACACCACTTTGTTCAGGCCCCAGGGTACTGGGTTACACATTTGGGTTTTTGTGGGTTGAGACCAATTGTTTGTTTGTATTATTGTACTTACTGTATTATTTTAATAAATTGTTATTCTGACTTATAATCTCTCCTTTGAGTTGGGTTCATTCCCCCTGCTGGTTAACTTTTAAACCAGCACAATCTGTCTTTTAATGTTTTAGGATTCAGGTTTTAGAATTTTTATACAACTGTGATTAGAAAGATTATTTTTTATTATTAACAAAAGTAATTTTTGCATTGTAGTCTTACTTGAGAATCTTTGACTTCTAGAAAATTCTCAGAAGGATCAGTCTTGGCATCATGTCCAAGAGGTTTGTTAATGTAGTCCTGGCAATACTGTTCCCTTGAAAAAAATCAGCATGGAAGTGCTAATAATCAGTAGTGGTAACAGAATTTCAAACATACATGTGCGTGATGCAAATTAGTCCGAATCAACTTGTCTAATATTACCCTGGGAAGGAAATCCATTCCTAACTACCCAAGTCTGTGAGAGGACAGGATCCCAATAAGATTTCTTTCCTTCTTTACAACAAAATTCCCCCATCACCCTCCTGGAGCTGTAGGTCCACCAAATGCACGGTCCAGTGTACAGACCCTGCTGGAGGACACCCACTTCCCACTGTACACTTCTGCATCATCCTGTTTTTTTCCATTCAGCTACTTCATCCTTCATCCTACTTTACTGCCTCCTCACCTCTGCTGCCTCCTTTCTGAGGGAGCCACATCACAGATTTCCCTGTTTGCTCTGAAGAATCTCCTATGAGGTCCTAGTCAAAACTCCACTCTATCACTCTCGTGTGCAAGGAGTCAAAGGAGAAAAGGCAGTTGAGGTAGCCAGGTCTTTGCTACCCAAAGGTGTTTGTTCATTCTCTTCATGGGATAAAGGAAAGGGTTCATACTGGCAAGCTACCAACTGCTATTGCTCCTGGGACTTGCCTGGTGTCAGTGCATCTTCTCTGCATCCTCGCAAAGGGCCTGTTGCTACTGCTGTGTGTAAAATCGGGAAGAATTTTGTCTGCATCAAACTGGCTAAGCCAAGTACCATCCTAGAACACAGAAGAGGGCTACTCATTAAAGGTTGCTGTTCCTCGTTGCCCTTTGGTCCCCAAGTAGATCTATTATGACAGTACCCTGGTTCTGGATATACAGAAAATATTCCCTTTCCCAAGTCAAATGGTGTTCCCCTTAATGCACTGACAGATCTCGAGGAATGGGTTTGCAACTACGCCACTTTCTCACATGGCACATATTCTGTACACATTAGTCATTATAGTGACATGTTGTAAATGAGGTCGTAAACGCTAAAAAAGCCTTAAAACTGAGCTCTTACTTTAGGATCCAGATAGCTGCAGTGACTTTCCAGTGCCTAGACATGCTTCACTCTGAATTAGATATTTATAGGCTCTAAACTGCAGAAAAGTGCAATGGGAGGCTCCTGTAATGTAGTTAAAATACCAGTGTTATTCACATTGAAGTTATAGCATGTTTTTGCTAGTTACTGTATGATTTCAAAGTTATCATGTTAGCAGATTATTAAGCATGAGTCATCTTATCAGATCTTGCCAGTTTGAATGAAGGACTTATATAATTTCTGAAATGTGATTTAGCAAACAAGAGCAGACTGTCAGCCAGCATCATACTGTCTGACTGAGCAGACAAGTTCCTTCTTCAAGAAACCAGGTAGATAGTGATGCATTTGCTGTGCTTTCTACAGCATGAGTCCCTCTCTGCCGAAGTGCCATTGGCAACTTCTGCTGTGGTTGGCAAACCGAAGACACAGTGCTTCTGAATAACTGTTGTCTTTGGATTTTTAACACAATCTTGACCGTGGCAGTCAACCTTATCTCATTTCCCTGAGGGGAAAATGGTTCTTCGGATGAACTGGGCTTTCTGTCTTCCCAAGACGCATCTCTGGTCATGCAGCAATTGAGCAGCTCCATGATATCCCATGGGTTTACACTGAAGCAACTTCGGACTATATCACTGACTATAGTTTTCCCCCGTTCTCTTTTCAGATTCTCTTCTTTGCCTTGTGTGAGTGTGGTGTTCCTCTTCCAATCTTTTGGTGTTTCTTCTGGGGCAGGGTGCATTGGAAGTACATACCTTTGAATATCTCTCTCAGAAGATATGTGGATGCCTTGGGGGTTTTGACCTCTGTCAAGACTTGACAGTGAATCTTTAAAAGGTTTAAAACAAATAACATAAAAGAGAAGGTTTAGATATTTAAAAGTTGTATGTTTGCAAAGGGGAGCCTTCTCCGGTACCTAAAAGGCTTACAAGCTGGGGACCTTCTGCATTTATTATACTGCAGAGAGGCACTGGTCATGTAAGGAGCTTTATGTTGCAGGTCATGCAGTGAGATCTGTACCATTCCTGTGGTTTCATAAAAGCTGGAATTTGAGTTATTGCAGCAGTTGTTCTCTCTGCATGCACTCTGGCTTGAGCTGCTGCAAAAACAAGCTTAAATTTTACACCATTTTATCTGTTTCCTAATTATGTGCTTCTTGCTGTTCATTCATTCCCTCCATGTCATGCTTAATTTCAAAGATGTTGGAAAAATACCTATAAGTTTTTTAAGTATCTAGAAATTCCCATCCTTGCTCCATTCTTGACCCCACCAAAGAGTCACAGTGCCTGGGTGGGGTGGAAAGACCCATGAGAAGCCTTGTGGAGAATACTGTAGGCAGTACTTGTCCATTTTGTTTCCAGTTTTGGTTTGCACAGGCCAACCTTTGCCTGGTGAACAGGAGCGAGTGAGCAGGGATGTGCAGGCTGCAAAACCATTGAAACACAGCCTCCTCATCTCCCTTGGCACAGAGCAAACTGGCTTTCTGCAGCTAACTGGCAAATGATGTTGAAGAGCAGCTTTGTGGGCAGGTAGTAATTTGTGTGGATTTTAGGGAAAGCATTCTCCAGGGGCAGTTAGCCATCTTTTTGAGCCATGACACGGTTCATTTTGCATCTAAAAATGCTTATGTGGAAGAGGATAGGGAACAAAATGAGGTGTAACATTGTCATGAATGCTGCATTTCAGCTGTAAAAAATGTAAAGGGCTTTTCTGCTTATATGAGAATAGAATTGAAATGAGATCAACAGAAACTCCAAGACTTGTTGGTCCTCTTCACAAAGAACAGGAGAGAGAAGATTAGGAACAGCCTCCAAACAGACCTGCAGAAATGAGTGGAAGTTCACAAATACTTTATCTGTCTGAGGTCACTGAGATGACTTCTTTGGCATTAGGTGTGTACAGAGACACTCAGACCTTACTGTGATCTTGTGATTGCCATGAAAATGGCAAGTGTTTTTCTTGGAAAATAAACAGTATGATAAAAAAAGCAAAATGTTAACTCTCAGAGCTCAAGGAAGGTTATGGCTTAAATCTTTCAGGTCCTTTGAGTTTTTCTTAAACCTTTGAACAGCTGATGATTATCAGTATAGTACAGTGAAGGGTGACCCTGTTTGATTCTTTCTTATATTGAAAATGCAAATTCAGGCCTTGACTTTGATACCTCTCAAATTCAGTTGAAAAGGAGATGTTTGATTCATTTGAGAAATGTTCAAAAATTACATAAAATGTCATCATTTCTTCAGATCTGGTGTGTTTGAGTTGGTGCTTGATTGCCACCCTGGTGTTCAAGATTAATTGTATGTTTTAAGATTTTGTTTAATTTTCATTTCCTAGGTATGAAGACACAGTCAACATCTTTTGGGCTGCATTTATACTTTATCAGAGATTTAAGCTTCAAATCATATTGCTACTGATACTGAACTGACTTGTTTGAAAAGCTGTTTTATCTTCAGTTGTATATTGCAAGGATGTTCCTTCCTTTGGGTTTAGGCTTTTTGCAGGCAGAATGAGGAATGTGGCTGCTTAAAAGCAGGTGAAGTTTTGAGAAACATGTTTTGAAGGGCATGAGAATGAGAGTGAAGTGGATTTAGCTAAGCTTACAAACGCTTCATTTGCCTGTACAAATGTGGTTGTGCTTTGGGATTGCTGAAGAGTGGGATTTTGCTCTCTGTTTGCAGGTAAGCAGCAAGCATGAGCTTGGCAACATGCGACCATGAGTGCCAGGACCGTGTGATCTGAATTGCGTCTTCCACTGACTTTCCAGCACCGAGGTGTTGTTCATCCTGTGCTATGGAGGACTGCCTTCACACCTCCTCTGAAAACCTCTCCAAGCTGGTGAGCTGGGCCCACAGCCATGGGACCATCTGCAGCCTCATCCCCAACCTCAAGCACCTTCTTTCCGAGGGGGCCCATGGCAACCTGACGGCCATGTGGGGCTGTAGTGCTGGCCATGCCTACCACTGGCCCCTGGCTGCCACTTGCCGGGCTGGCTCCCAGGAGCGTGTCTGCTTCCAGGACAGCCGCAGCTTCAACTCGGACAGTCCCAGCATGCTGGGTGTGCCATCGGAGGCACAGGCCAGCCCCCTGGAGCGCTACCCGGGTCGGACGGGGAAGACCAAGCTGGATTGCACCCGCACTCGCGACTCCTGCGACTTCTCCTATTGCAGCGAGCCATCGGAGCTGGGTGAGCCTGTGGAGGAGTACGAGGATGAGGCCACTCTCTTCGACATGGTCTGTGAGTCCTCTGTCACCGACGAGGACAGCGACTTTGAGCCGCACCCCCACCGTGCCCCCGCCGGTCCCCGCAAGCGTCCGGCTGCCGGGCTGCCCACGGCTGCCCAGGCGCAGCCTGCTGATGAGGGCGGCAGTGACGTGCTCCTCAAGAAGATCAAGCAGGAGCTCCCTGAGGACTACTATATCGTGGCCAATGCTGAGCTGACTGCCGGTGCCGACGGGCCGGCCCTGGCCCTGACGCAGATGTCCAAGCCCAAGCCACAGCCCCCGGCCGGCCCCTCCTGCCTGGTTCCCACCAGAGCTGTGCCCCAGCCTGTCGCCGGCCCCGACCCCGACCCCCAGCGCCTCTGCTCCTCCCCGCCCGGCCTGCCCCGCATGGCCCCACAGCGGCCGCCCCGGGGACCCCTGGCCTCCCCAGCACGGGGGGCAGGCAGTGGCCCTGTGGCTGCCCTGCAAGTGCCAGCCACCAGCTCCAATGCCACCACCACCACCACCGGGAAACCCATCAGCATCCCCCTCTCAGCGCTGCAGCTGCCTGGTCAAGAGGAGCCACCGGCCGCTGAGGAGACTCTCCCATCTGTCCCACAGCTGACTCCAGGTGGTGAGGTGGCTGGCTCGCCCTCGGTGAGTGCTGAGCCTGAGGTCAGCTCCAGCCAGCAGCAGTCCCATGCCGTGCCCACCACCACTCCCGAGGCAGTGGTGCAGTTAATGCCAGGTAGGACACTGGGCGGGAGGTGAGGGACGGCAGCATTTTGGGGGTGGTCAGCAGGCATGGCTCAGTGAGGGGGGAGCCTGGGAGGATGTGCTGCATTTCACCAGGGTCCTGCTGGCATATAAGTCAGTAGGTAGAGAACCTGCACACACTTGGAAGAGGATTTGGAAGACCTCAGCTGAGAAAAGGCCATGAGGAAGTATACTGCAGCCACAGGGAGAATGCTTTTTTAGGTCCATTTTGGTTACACTTGTTTCATGGCAGAGAGCATGCAGCCACCTTGCTGTGCGTGTGGGTCAGGGAGGACATGAAACTCATGCACTCTTTTGATGAACGAGAAAGAAATGGTCTCATCCAGTGTAGCCTGGAGGTAGGGGGTCAGGTGTTGCCTTCACCCTGTCAGAAGAGTGACATTGGACATGGAGAGGCACAGAGCACAAGGGGAGTACTAGAAGAGAGGTTTGCACTTCTGTAAATTGTTAAACTATTTCCCTTGCCTGTAAATCAGAGCAATCTGCAGAGATGAGTATTACTACAGCCTTAATCATGAAATTGATAACAATTTAAGCCATAATAAAATTAATTTTTTTCCCCTTTTCTTGGTGAGAGCACTCATGCCCCATGTCCATAATTTTTTCATCTCCAGCTGCTGTCAATGCACAAAGAACTGGCAAAACCAGATCAACATTACTGGATAAAGAGCATGTTAAAACAGCTTACTTCTGCTGAATGATTATCTGATGTGCAGAATAACTAACTGTTAACTATAGGTCTTCAAGAGGGAGTGGAAGTCTTTTTTGAGCAGATTTGCCAGCTCCCTCTTGATGTGAGTGCAGAGAGTGCTCACTTTGCTCTTACAGCTGGTGAGTGGTGCCACTCTGGGAGGAGATGTGGGCAGGAGTGAGTTTTGCATGTGCTCCCTTGCTGATTCAGCCTTGGACTGTCTGATCAGAGTACAGCCAAACAATGAAAGGGGAAAACACTGCTTATATGCAGTCCTGGGCAGGTAAGCACTGAAAACAATGACTTTAACAGAGTGGATGATACTTCAACCTGGACATCCTGAAATCTGATTGAATGCTAGTAAAGCTATTAATTGGCAAGAGCCTGCAGATCTTGTTGCCAGATAAAACAACAGACAAAGTTAAATACTGAGTTTTACTAAGTAAAACCCTGCTAAGCATTAGAAATTAGAAAGAATGATAACTGTCTTAGTGATACCAAAGTATATTCTTCTTTGGGACCCATTTGTGCATGCCTGCATCTTTGAGATGTTATTTTGCAGTAGTCCTGTCATGTAGCATCCCTTGTGGAAATTCCCTTACAAAAATCCATCTGGTTTAGATTTGACTCTATTCAGCTAAGTATGAGAGAGGTGGGATGCCTGACGCCATTCAATCCAAATTGTGTGGTAAATCTATTTATTCTGCCTTCCTCAGTTTGTAGTCTGTCATTACTATATATACTAGAGCTGGTTTCTACCAACGTGCCCTTGCAACTTGCTTAGTCTCAAACTTGCAATGTGGGACAACAGAATAGAAACCTAGGAAGAATTTTTTCGTGTTAGGTGTGTGTTATCTGGGAGAGTGATATACTTATAACAGATCCATTAAAAAATCTAAAGTGTTTTTCCAGGTCCTCAGAAGCCAAACAAGATCAGCAGTTGTTACTGTTTAGGGTTAAACCTTACAGGCATGCATGCAGCACTGCGTTTTCACTTTTGTAGAGTTTCAAGACCAGGGTTGGTCCATGTCTAATGTCTCACTGTTAGGACAAAGTGGGATTGCTCCTGGAGAAATTTGCCCACTGCATAAATCAACCCTCAAAACCTTCTAGTGCATTTTGCAAAGACAGTGATGTGGATCTCAAAGTGCTGCCCAAATTCCACTTCAATCAGCTATGTTCTCTGTAGATAAATTTCTTGTGCTCTTCCAAAAATGTGTTACACAGTTCCTCTCCTGGTATAGTGTTATTGGCGTATGCTGTTACTCTACTCAGTGGTAGTGGCATTTTAATGAGGGTAAAATGATTGACATATGACTAGAACTTGATACGTGAGTGAAGTCTCCCATTTCCATAGAGCTTGCTCCTTTGGGAAAGAAGGGCTGGCATTAATAAATCTTCAAGTTGCAGAAAAGTGAGCAAGTACAGAAAAGTGAATTTATTACAGACGCATAATTCTGCACAGCAGATTCTTGATAAAACATGGAGGTTTGAGTAAAAATTAGATTAGGGTAATTGCTCGTGTACAATGATTTCATTAGGTTGTCTCCTAACAAAGAGCAGTGTACTGGAAATGGTTCATGATATATAAAATTTAAGCTATATTGAACTACAAGAAGATGTTTATCTATCCTATGCAAAAATTTTCTGTCAGCTAGATATAAGGATGAGTATAATTCTTATGTAAAAAAAGGCAGGAACTAATTACATCGAAGAGCCTGGAGCTTTTATTATTTTATAGGCTCAGTGCCTGCTTGACAAACAAACAAAGGTTCAGTTGAAAGTAAGCAGGGAATTTAAATTCTCTCTTGTCCCCTCCAAAGTGTTGGTTAATTTTAAAATAATATGTGAGGCCTTGTTCCTGGTCCCATTAGAACTGATAGTATAAGGTCTAAGTAGGCAACTGGTAGTATAAGGTCTAAGATCGGTAGGACTAAGGCCTTACATAAGTTATGATTAAAGGCTGCAGTCCAACCAGCACTTTGAGTTTTAGCTGAAGTAACATGTCCTTGCATTTGTACCAGCCACAGCTGATAGTTTTCATGCATGCTAATCTCATAGATCATGAAAGTTTGAGTGAGATTCTCCATGAAATCAAAAATCTTGATGATATATGTTAGCTTAGGCCAGTTTAAGCAACATTATGCTTTTGGACTAGTCGCTCTTTCAAAGAGGGTTTTATTCCCCCTCTTTTACTCTCTTTTAAGAGTAAAAGGTTTTAATGACGGCATGGTGACAGAATGTATGAGCAGGGGCCTTACAAAGATATTTTCATGTCTCAAAAGAGAGGTGGCATCCCAGTGAAAATTCAGTTATGTTAGGCACTGATTTCTGTTGGGTTTAGGTGTCCATCTAAGCATTGTGGCATATACTGGATTATTTTTTGTTACATTTCAGCACTAATAAGTGGACATTTGCCTGTGAATTTTCAGGTCTTTCATTACCACTTTATTAGCAAAGCCTTCAAGAATATATGTATGTACTATTTAATCCTCCTTTTCTTTTTCTGGAAAAACTGAGAGGACCTGCATCTGTTAGGAGAGAAATTTTTTGCAATGATGGAGAGCAGGAAATTTCTGCAATTTCTATTTCCCAAACAGCCTCTTTTGTCTTTTGCTTTTGCTAATACTTGGTCTGCTTTTTTGTCTCCAAGAACCAACAAAGGCAAGGTACATCACATCAGTGGAGATTGAAGATGAGTAAGAAACATTATGTTTTAGGTTGCAGTACATGCAGCTTAGAGAAATTAGTGACATTTTGATGTCTAAAACCAGGAATGGAAAAGATTTGGTGTTATTGCAGAAGGATATGGAGGAAGACTATGGCTCAGAGGAGGGCAGATCTTGTTTTATATGAAATAAGTTTTGATTCTCAGAGAGGCAGGACTTACTTTGCAAACAGAATTGCTGAAGAATTTAGGAAGAATACTTGCTTTTCACCTGAAAACTGAGGGTGAAGATGTGCTTTGTATTAACCAGAGAGTGCAGCAAGGTATCTCTGGTCCAACATTAGTCCAGCACTATAAATAGAAGAGCAAAGAGCTCCATGAAAAAAAAATAAAAGATATCAAATCCATATGAACAAACTGTGCCGAACACAAAGAGTAGTGAGATGCAAAGTGAAAAATCAGCTAAATAAATTGACTAGGGTTGTTGCTTTTGTCAGACATGTGGCAAATGATATTCTGTGGTACCATCACAGTGCCACTCACTGTCCTGCCATCGTGGTTATTGAACAGTATCAGCATTTGAATGTGTGCCGTGGTGGATCCTGGTCTGTGGTGAGGGCAGTACTTAGCTTTGCTGACTCTGATGTCTCTGCTCTGACATCCTCTCCATTCTTTTATTTTCTCTAACTGGTGTGTTAGAATGCCAGATAATCAGCTGATAATCAGCTTAGCCTGGTGACTTGGGCAAAGATCTAGTTCTGTTCCTGTGCTCTTGTCACGGGAAGGGGATTGCAGCCTTTCATGATTGGCATGTAACATGGTTTGACTCTTGCTCTGCTCTCAGTGTGGACATCTGTGTTGGTTCCAGGTGTTCATATAAGTCTCTGTCTGAACATGACCATTATAAAATGCAATACATTTGGGGGTTGTCTGATATTTGTGTAGAGCTCTTAGGTGGAATATTTTAAGTATTTTTCTTCACTTTTCTTTTGTACTTCACATGGGGTTGCTGAAACAGAAAGGGAAAGGGACTTGATGGTTTAGGTCAGAGTACTTTCTGAGAGTGATTTTCCACTTTATAGAAGGTTGGTACTTCAGTAAATAAGCCTAAGGAAGTAATCATTCCCCTGTAGTTGGCACTGGTGAGGCCACAGCTCGAATTCCCTGTTCATTTTTGGGTCCCTCACTCCAAGAAAGACCTTGAGGTGCTGAAGCAACAGAGGGCAACAGACCTGGTGAATGATTTAGAGCATAAGTCCTATGAGGAGTGGCTGAGGGAGCTGGGGTTGTTTAGCCTGGGGAAAAGGAGGCTGAGGTGAGACTTTATCACTGTCTTCAACTACCTGAAAGGAGGTTGTAGCCAGGTGGGGTTTGATGGCAGGCAACTACTGACAGTAACTGGATGTGTTCCTTTTGATCAAACTCAGGATGACTGTCAGTGACACTGTGGTCTGTTGTAGCTTTTCATTAACTAGGTCTTCATGATGAAAACATCACTTGAAACCATAAAACAATTGATTAATAATATTTAATTAATTGCTTACTGCTTTACGCTTCCAGGGGGAAATGAAAGAAGAAAGCTGGCTGTCTGTTTTGTTCAGAGAAGGAAAAC